ATTGAACTGATCCAAAATTTTCACGGCAAAGGATGACATAACTACGCATTGAAACCCAGTTCAGAAAACGGTAAAGTTGTGGTTGGGTGTTAGAAAGTATGTTTGGACTTTTTAAACAACGTACGAACGCCATGGAAACAATTAAACAAATATTAATGATGAACCAACCCCAATATGATGTGGCGCTGTTGGTGAGATCATTGGTTAGTTGGCGTTTGAATTCAGTGACCATATGGTTGTTTTTTTTTTCCGAACCGGAACAATGACCTCGAGTGGGTATTGTTAGAAATTTCAAGTTGAATTGGTCTGGTTATGGGCAACTCTTTTATTCCAAAAATTACTCCGAAGAACCCTTTGTTTCTGGTAAGAATTTGTAGGTCACATTTTATCTGAAATGTACTTTTGGATGCTTAAAAATCGTGATAATATATTCCGAGTGTACAATCCGCTCATTTGATGGTTGGATTAAAAGTTCATTACTTTGACTAATCAAATATAAAGAAAAATATTCCAAAGTATCTTACATTTTATGCTAAAAACTCATAAGTCACATACTCCCTCCGTACCATAAAACTTTTCCTTTTTCATCCGTCCCAAAAAATACTTCTCTTTTCTTATTAAAAAGTCATTTTTAATCCTATTAATTCTTAACTTACCTATCACATCACAATTTTTCTTTATTAATCTACCCATCTCATCCTATTTTATCCATCACATCAAAGGACATTTTTGAAAAGTCAACACCAAAATATACTCTCCTTAAATTCCTTAAAAGTCAAAATGAGTAGTTTTTTAATGGACATAGAGAGTATCATTTAAATGATGAATTTAAACCCCATTAAGGGCTTGTTCTTTAAGGCTTAAACTCTTAACTTCCAGTTCCAGTTCCTTCCAGTTTTTTTCAATTTCTTCCAGTTTCTTCCAGTTCTTCCAGTTTCTTCCAACTTTTTTCATTTTCTTCAAATTCTTTTTACTCCTCAACCAATTACTCTAAAAATGATATATTTCAATGTGATTATTATTATTATTATTATTATTATTATTATTATTATTATTATTATTATTATTACAACTGTTATATTCATAACTGTAGTTTATAAATTATTATTTTCATCTCACTATTTTTACGATTCGCACTTATTATTTTTTTCTTCAACTTTTTAATATGAATAAGACATTTTTTGTATATTAGTCTACGTGATAAAACATGAAAACATCAATATGTTAAATTCTACTAAAAAATTATTGATAAAATAGTTACATTGAATGTTTATTAATATAACTTTTTATAAGACATCTCAGTTTTCCCTTTATTACTTAAAAATTGCTCATTTTTATAATTTTTATAAAAAAAATTGCAAATCAAAAGAGCTTAGAGAAAAAGACTAAAATATGAGTAAAACATAAAAAATGTAAACAAAAAAGTTCTATGTCTTAATTCCAAAAATAGGAATTCAATGAAAATAAAATGTCAATCATGAAAGAAACAATAGGTTTGATTATGTGACATGTATGATATTTAAAAAAAATTGTTTTAATATGGAGTATATAAATTATAATCACAGATACATTATTTATAATAAATGCTGCATAAATAAATTGAGGTGCAATATAACTACACAACCTTTTTAAAATTTAATATTTTTATATTTATGCTAACTTTATATTATAATTATTTTTTGTAAAAGTAGTTTTTTATATTTAAAAAATAACAATACTTTTTTTTATATCTTAAAGACATTCACTAAGATAACGTGATGATGGTGATGATTATGTTGATGATTATGATGATGATTATGATGATGATGATGATAATAATAATAATAATAATAATAATAATAATTTATAACAACAAGAATTTAAAATAAATATTTTAAAGTTTTTTTTAGGTTTTCCAGTTTTTTCCAGTTTCTTCTAGATTGAACAATATGACACTTGGGTTGAACCACATTAAAAGATTGAATCCAATCGATTAGTTAGTTCAACTCAAGAGCTTATATACCGATTATTTTGCTCTTGAACTTCCGATGTGGGATGACACTCTAACACTCCCCCTCAAGTGGACAACCGGGCCATTTTGAATCTAACCGGTTGACCACTTGCAAATAAACTCTCATTCCCTTGATTTTTTTTGAGCGCCAACACCTAAAGGACCACGAGCCGCTGGGTTTGGACTTCCAGATGAACAATCGTGTTAAACGGGCCACAGGCCGTTGGGTACATACTCCATACAGACAACTGGGCTAAAGACTAACGGGCCGCTAGGAATGAACGTCTAGACGGACACCTTGACAAACGAGGTGGGCCAAAACCTGTTCTGATACCATGATAGAATTTACGATGGGATAGTGATCACTAGATTGGGCAATAGGACACTTAGGTTGAACCACATTAAAAGATTGAATCCAATCGATTAGTTAGTTCAACTCAAGAGCTTATATACTAATTATTTTGATCTTGAACTTCCGATGTGGGATGACACTCTAACAAACATGCTCTAAACAGAAACTGTTGAGTCTAAACCCATTATTGATTGGCCAAGACTAATCAATGCAGCTTTTGAGATCTAATAAGCAACTAATATTGGCCGGAAAACTTTGAGAATATTGTCCAATTGTCCAAACAACTTCGATTCAAGCTTAAGCAAAAACAAGGGCATTTTACCTAAACTTATGCCATTTAGCTAAGTTTTTAATAAGGGATTTTTACATCAATAGTTCAAATAAGCATCCACTGTTTAAACCAATTAAGTTATGCATAATAAAGTCATAACACAATTATAAATAAAGCATACTCCCTCCCTTTTTTCGAAACAATTTCTCTTTCGTTTTTTGTTTCTAATAAAATACTTCCACTTTAACAAAAAATGACCAATATATTCAAATAAAGCTAGTTGTAATATACTTCAATTCATTCGTTATACATTGATATAATAAGTTATTTAAATGAGTTATCTCTCTTTTTCTTTGACATTAAGGATATAATTAGAAAATCAAATTACAAAAATAAACTTGTTATGAGTCAAAATAGGAACTGTTTTATCAAACGGGGGGAGTACAACTCTTTCCCTTTTGCATTAACAAAATGGTAATAAGAAAACCAACCAAAAGTTCACTACAAGAAAATGCAGCTTTTGCCACACTTAAACTTGCTATTTGCAACACATATAAGTGCGGGAAATTAAAGAGTGTTCGTCACACATGTGCTAAGTGTGGTGGCAGAAAATGTGGGGAAAATGTTGCCACACATAAAATAAGTGTGGCAAATTACTACATTAAACACACTTATAAGTGTTGTTAATATATTCGTTTGCCACATTTTTAAGTTTTTCCAACTCACCGCACATGTAAATGCGGCAATTTTTAATTGTTTGAAAAACTAAAAATACAATATGCACGTAATATAAATATGTGTGGCTAATCACAACAACATAACTAACTTAAAAAAAACATCTTTGGCGGGGTTTTTCATATATATATATATATATATATATATATATATAATTCAAGGCAACTAAAGTTTAAATTAATTTACTCAATTTGAAAATCATGCAAATATAAAAACTAAGCCATCATCAAATTATAATTCCATGGGCAGTATAAAAAATCTAGTGTCAAAATAAATAGTGAGTTCCAACATCAATTGATCCTCTAATAATGAGTTCAAAACAAATTAAAAAGGAATGCAATAGAGTCATTATATTGTTCGATGATATGCTCTCTAAAAAAAGGTCTTCATCAAATTCCCACAAGCCGTGTCAAGTCAACCATGCCATTCCAAATCAACCTATCTTTGATTTGATATCTTATACATAGGCCTCACTTCAATTTACAAGAAAGATTTACCATATTTTCTTGTGTTATTATCTTTGTTTGACATTTGCAAAGTCCAAACAACATATTTGAGAATTAAATCTCTATCATATAAAAATTAAGCAAAAGAAATTGATACCCAAGTAAAAATAGACACATCAAAGATTACAAATACAATGCTTGTATAAATACTTTGAAAAATCAGCCTTGTCTTTCTCATAAATGTTCACTTTCTTTTCAACAAATTCAATCAAAACTCCTGATTCAGAATAAGAAGGTGTTCTTAAGTTGCTTGTTAACACACATGAGTTAGACTTTAAGGCTTCATCATCTTAGATAAAAGTTGGGGTTTTTTTCAGACAAATCAAACTCATTCAAAGCCAATTCCTTCAACATGCTAGTCATGATCAGGAAACAAGAAATTAGTTTGCAGTTGTTGGTAGAGCCCTTGAAAGAATTGTAAGTGAGGGAAGTCAGGGGTTGGTCACTTAGCTTGCTGGTGTTGGTTAGCTTCTGGCAGACTCTCTGCTTATTTTATTACGGAGTATATATTCTCGCTCAATTTGTTTTTTTTTACATTTCTCAAACTATTGTTCTTTTTGTCAATGTACTCTAGAAAACAGTTTCTACCCCTTAGTGAGAGTCCCTGAGCTACTGTTGAGTGACATATACTAAGTTTGTTTGTTTCAAAGGAAGATTCCAATATGTTCACATACAAGTAGGCTATAGTTGTAAGTAATTTGCAAATCACAAAAGTCAACTCTCCTCAAGAGATGGAGTTAAGTTTTTGTTGGAATTAAAGACCGATTCTTGAGTGCTCGTTCTTGATTAACGTCTTATCCGATTGAAGTATTTCGTATACCCCGAAATAACTTTGATCTGATAGCGTTTCGTACGCGATTCGTTATACTATCGGGTTCTTCGTTTGACACTGCTTCGCAGTGTTCTTCCTTCTTTAATTCCAACAAAGATCAAAGTTATTCCTATAGAACTCAAAGATGACGTGTGGCGATTCCGTAAGAGATTTGAGCAGCAAGTTCTCGAAGTTAGAAAAGTTCGGAGGCCAGGACTTCCGTCGATGGCAGAAGAAGATGCACTTCCTTCTCACAACATTGAAGGTCGTGTATGTACTGAGCACGCCTATGCCACAAATCATGGATGACGATACACTGTAATAGACGAGGAAGCGGTGCAAGTGGGAGAACGATGATTACATTTGTCGAGGACATATTCTAAACGGTATGTCTGACTCTCTGTTTAATGTATATCAAAATGTTGAATATGCAAAGTTACTGTGGGATGGTCTAGAAGAAAAGTACATGGCCGAGGACGCTTCGAGCAAGAAGTTCCTCGTCAGTAATTTTAACAATTATAAGATGGTCGACTCTCGACTGGTCATGGAACAATACAATGAACTATTGAGGTTCCTGGGCCAGTTTGCACAGCATAACATGGCAATGGATGAATCCATATCTGTGTCTAGTATTATAGACAAACTGCCTCCTTCGTGGAAGGAATGCAAACGTGAGTTAAAGCATAACAAGGAGGAAATGAATCTGGTGCAACTTGGAACCCATCTTTGGATTGAGGAGTCCATTCGAGATCAAGAGGGAAAGAAGGTGAAGGACATAGCCGGTCCATCGTCCCTCAACATGGTCGAAGACGAAGGTTTCACCAAAGTGAAGAATAAGTCTAAGGGTAAAAAGCGCAAGTCCGGAAATACACCCAAACTTGCAAATAAAAAGGCTAAAATGGGTTGTTGGAAGTGTGGGAAACCTGGCCACTTCAAGCAAGATTGTCGAATTGGCAAGCGAGACAAGTATACAAGCAAGAATGGTTCTGGTCAAGGAACCAAGGACCAAAACAAATCAGAAGGTCAGATTATTCCACTCATCAATGATTCGGTTAAGATTTATGTCTGAATTATATCTGATGCATTTTATGTGCAGGATGATGACATCTTTTGGTGGGTTGATTCGGGGGCAACATGTCACGTGTGCAAGGATAAAAGATGGTTCAGTTCGTTGGAATCAATGGACTATGGATCAGTGTTGCGCATGGGAAACATAGCCACCGAACCTGTCAAGGGAATTGGAATAGTAAAACTTGTATTCACTTCTGGCAAAAGTGTACTCTTAGATAATGTATTATATGTACTAGGTCTTTGTAAAAATCTTATATCGGGGATTGTATTAAATAACCATGGATATAAACAAGTATTGGAAAGTAATAAATATATTTTATCTAGGCATGGTGGCTTTGTAGGTTTTGGTTATTTATGCAATGGCATGTTTAAATTAAGTTTGAATGTTCCTTTTGGCATGAATGATGTTTGTATGACAACTACATGTGATGCCTTAAACAAATCTGTTTTATGGCATGCTCGTTTAGGTCATGTGCATTATAAAAGATTACAAGATATGTCCAAAAGTAACTTAATTCCTGCCTTTGACATAAACCAAGACAAATGTAAGACATGTATGTTAACCAAGATAACTAGAAAACCGTTTAAAGAAATCCAAAGGGATTCTAGTATACTTGAACTCGTTCATAGTGACTTGTGCGATTTTCATGCAACTCCATCTATAGGAAATAAAAAGTACATGATCAATTTTATAGATGATGCCTCTAGGTTTTATTATGTATATCTTTTACATGCTAAGGATCAAGCATTGGAAACTTTTAAAGTATACAAAACCGAGGTAGAATTGCATAAAAATAACTTGGTTAAAACTCTTCGGACAGATAGGGGAGGAGAATCTAATGACTCTATTGGATATGCTCAGCATTCTAAGGCTTATAGATTCTACGTTATAGAATCTAATGACTCGGTGGGAGTAAACACCGTGATCGAGTCAAGGGATGAAATCTTCGATGAAAATAGGTTTTCATCAATACCTAGACCAAGAGATATGGTTCTAGGTGATTCATCTATACCAAATGAAGAGGACTCTAGTAGAGACATAGTTTCTACTAATGAGTCCTTCGTTCCTACGGAAATTAGGAGAAGCAAAAGACGTAGAGTTGCCAAATCCTTTTGCTCAGATTTTCAATTATATTTAATTGAAGGTTCTAGGGATGAAATTTTATTTCAATATAAATATTGTTATAATATTGAAGCCGATCCTAGAACATATAATGAAGCTATGGCTTCAAGGGACGTGGCATTTTGGAAAGAGGCTATTCAAGATGAGATGGACTCCATCTTGCATAACAACACTTGGAAATTAACTAACTTACCTCCTGGATGCAAACCTTTAGGATGTAAGTGGATCTTCAAGAAGAAGATGAAAGTGGACGGTTCGATCGATAAGTTTAAAGCAAGGTTAGTGATACAAGGCTTTAAACAAAAAGAGGGAATTGACTACTTTGATACCTTTGCCTCTGTTGCAAGAATTTCAATCATTAGGTTGTTGATTGCTCTAGCGGCTATACACAATCTTGTGATTCACCAAATGGATGTAAAAACAGCTTTCTTAAATGGTGAACTAGAAGAGGAAATCTACATGAAACAACCGGAAGGGTTTGTTATGCCAGGAAATGAGCATAAAGTGTGTAAGCTAGAGAAGTCACTATATGGCTTAAAACAAGCACCGAAACAATGGCATCAAAAGTTTGATGATGTTGTGTTGTCAAATGACTTTCTTTTAAACCAAGCAGACAAGTGTGTTTATAGCAAATTTGATACTTCAGGTAAAGGAGTTATAATTTGTCTATATGTTGATGACATGTTGATTTTTGGAACCGATCAAAATCAAGTCAATAAAACAAAAGAATTCTTGTCATCACATTTTTCCATGAAGGATCTAGGGGAGGCAGAAGTAATCCTAGGCATTAGGATAAAACGGGTGAACAATGNCCCTATGGATCCAAGCATTAAACTTTTGGCCAATCAAGGAAAGGCCGTGTCTCAACTTGAATACTCAAGGGCTATTGGTTGCTTAATGTATGCCATGGTTAGCACAAGACCGGATATAGCATATGCCGTTGGAAAGCTTAGTAGGTTTACTAGCAATCCTGGTACACACCATTGGCAAGCTATACGGAGAGTATTCAAGTACTTAAAGAAAACTATGAATTATGGTTTGGTGTACAGTGGAGATCCACCAATTCTTGAAGGATACTCGGATGCAAGTTGGATCACTAATATGGAAGATTTCTCCTCTACTAGTGGATGGGTTTACTTACTAGGCGGAGGAGCAATATCATGGGGATCAAAGAAACAAACTTGCATCACTACATCGACAATGGAATCTGAATTTGTTGCTTTAGCATCGGCCGGTAAAGAGGCTGAGTGGTTAAGAAATTTGGTATATGAGATTCCATTGTGGCCTAAACCGATATCACCAATATCTATAAGATGTGACAGCGCTGCGACTTTGGCTAAGGCATATAGCCAAGCCTATAATGGTAAGTCTAGACACATGGGTGTTAGACATATCATGATCCGTGATTTGATCAAAAATGGTGTGATATCAATTGAGTTTGTTAGAACTCAACACAATTTAGCCGATAACTTAACTAAAGGGTTAAGAAGAGATCTCGTGCAAAATTCGGCTAAAGGGATGGGATTAAAGTCCATTTGATATCTCTCGTGTTAAGATACCCAATTCCCACCTAATATGACGTTAGGTGTAGAATTCAATGTGGAAAGCTTAACATCAAGAGATTGGAACACAACATTAGCATCATCCAAAGGTATGTGTTCAGAACTGCAAGTTAAAGAGGTTGAAGTTAATCTTCTTAATAGTTCTTTTGGAAAATTGTATGTGCAGGTACAAGACATAAAAGAACTACCTATACGAGTATGAAGTTTAGCCACTTCACAAAGTTTGGACTTGACTTTTATATGCTCGTTAAAGGATAGGGACACAAGGCTAGTAAAATACAGTGTCAAGCTTGGAACAAAGAAGCACTTAGAGCTTATGTGTATATTATCTTCATGTATTCATATGAATTGCAAGGGTTCAATCCTTAGAGACACCTCGAAATTCGAATATTTGGAATGTGTAATATACTAAGATGAAAATTCAATCGTCTGGACATTTTCATTTATGCATAAGTTTGTTGAATCTATTATCTCAGAAAGTAAGTCATGGATTACACTAAAATAGGGGAGGATTGTTGGTTATTTTAGTGTCATCAGTTTATTTTGTGTAATTGGATTTACTTCGATCGGACAAGAATTTAAATAGACGTTGTCAAACGAGTTAGGAGGCGCGGAGTGCGCGCTCGTTCAACGATATTATAAATTCACAACGGGGGTTCAGGGGCGGAGCCCCCGGGATAGCGGGGGTCCGGGGGCGGCAGCCCCCGGATAGCGGGGTCCAAGGGGCGGCAGCCCCTGGCGGGGTCCAAGGGGCAGAGCCCTTGGCCGGGGTCGTTGGAAATTTTTGGAAATTTTTTATTTCGGACGTTGTTTCTTTAAGAAAATCATTAAGATTTTCGTGACCGGAGTCCAAAATGGTAAAGGACTCATACACAATGGATAAACGTCGAAATTAAGCCTTAAACCGCAAGAGACCTTTCGTTCAAAACTCGCACCTTCTTCTTCCTCGCGCGAATGTACGCGTACATCTACGCGAACGTTCATGTCCGATTACAAGAATTTTCGACTCTATAAAATAGAGTCTCGTGGTATGGGTTGAGGGACCGATTCTTGAGTGCTCGTTCTTGATTATGTCTTATCCGATTGAAGTATTTCGTATACCCCGAAATAACTTTGATCTGATAGCGTTTCGTACACGATTCGTTATACTATCGGGTTCTTCGTTTAACTGCTTCGCAGTGTTCTTCCTTCTTTAATTCCAACAGTTTTGAGCTACACCACCCTAGAAGTAAAGTACATACTTGAACCTCTCCAATTCCTTCAGGTAGTATCTACCCCAAAGAAACTTGAACACAATGATTGTAAAAACCCAGAAAACTGAAAGTTGATATGAAATACCCAAGTTTGGTTCAAGTTAAACTCAGAAAACTGAACACAATGTAAAAACCAGCATTCAAAAACCAGAAAACCGAACACTGAAAATTTATGACTGCAACTCCAAAAACTGAACACTAAACCCATAAAACTGAACAATGACGATAAACTCAGAATACTGAACACTGAACACAATGATTAAACACAATGACTATAAAAACCAGCATATATATACAATATAATGTACTTAAAAATATAGATCTTTCGAGCTTTTCACGTAGCAGTGTGTTTAACAGCCTTGGTTCTGCCTTATTCTTGCACAAACCAGTAGCCTGCAGATATGAAACACACACACAGATAAGATTTTCTAAAAGAATACAAAGATAAAGAAAACTTTCAAACTATTAATTTAATTTCAACTTTTACCACTCCATCTAAGAACAGAAGAACAAATTCTCTTTTTGCTAGAGATTAATATTTTTGTAGTTCATGAGGGTAATCCTTTAGTAGTTTGTCCACCAATAATTCTATTTGAGCTCGAGATAACTAGACCTAAAATTAATAAATCTCAATCAATTATTCATCAAGGAAAAGTTAAAATGAGCAATATTTTAAATAGAAATTCATATTACTACCTAGAAGAGATAAACTTACAGGATTCATATTCTTGAGCAAGGGGATTTTTTCTTTTTCTAAATTTTTTTGCTCTTTGCATGCATCAAAAATCGTCGGGGTAGTATTAGATCTGATATCTCCTACCTTGTTCATTCTAATGATATGATTATAATTGACAAATAAAACATACTTCATTACATAGTCAATTATCGTATTAAATGCGGTACAAAGCTACACCAATGTAATTACATACCATGTTGATTTCTTGATGGGTTACACTATGCCTAACACGAGTACACCTTTGTGGTTGCAAAACAGCTGCGTCACTAGCACTATTTGTGGGTGCTGCTTGAGAAACCTTGTGTTGTTCACCCTTACCATTGTGAGAAACAACTTTTGCAGTAGTTGATGACTTCAACAAGACAACAAGTGCACATGATAAATAAAAGTATAAGTCATGATCACTACTATATTTAAAATTCTTTGAGTTATTAAAATACATTCATCAAAAACCCTTACCGGTATAGTCGCTACCGACGCTACTTGCTTTTCGAATCCACGTTGCTCTCGATGATTTCTTTTTTTGAATGAGTCTGTATCTCTTTCTGATTTGCAGCCATAAGATACAAAGTAGGAAACCATAAAAATCAATTAGAAAAACAAACATGTACTTATAATACATAACAAATTGTCTATGCCTGAGGTACTAAAGATATGAAGGGAACCACCTATTACAGATGGATTGTACTTTGAACCATGATTGGCGTGTATACCATCATGCTTTAAACCTTCATAAAAACCACCTCTGGTACATGGTGAAACAGGAGATAAATCAAGGTGATTGGGTGTGTTATGCCTTGAACTATAGTTTTAGTACCTTCCAACAGAAAACCTTACCACAGGAAGCAAATACAGAGACCAACCACACCCACCCAAAAGCAATCATGCTTATCAATTTGGTATTACTCAATATGTAATTGGACAAAAACTAGTGAAAAGAAACAACTCACAAGCAAATTAGAAGGAATGTTAAAAGAAGAAAACAGTATAACAGAGAAAAGGATGGACTCTGTGAGAATATTTTTATAAATGATTATCACTATATACTCTGTGTGCGTATTAATAAAATTGATTATCACGTGAAAGTAGGCATTAGCTACCGGATGACTTCAAATTAGGCTAAAACGGGTCAATCAGCAGGCTAAAAGAAGAATAATGCATCATCAAGATAATGATACTGCATTCAACCATTTAAACCACAGTTCATAAATTTTATATTCATCAGCATATTAAAGGATTCTTAGGAACAAACTAATTTTTTAAGATATACTAATAAATTGATTAAAGAAAGAGTGAATTAACTATTCCGATCCCAAATAGGCCCATAGACTATATGCATCAAAAATTGAAAGCCAAATAAATGAACTTAATTATAGTGTGTGAATCTAAAACAACTAAAGCATACATGATATTCATATATACATACCAAATCTGTAATAACCATCCAATCGAAGATGCAGAGGAAAGAGACAGGGGAAAAGCAAGAAATTAATTCGAACAAATAAAAAGAAACATAAATTGTTAAATATATTCTATATTTATGTTAAATATATATTCTGTATTAATTGTACAAATAATGTTTCCTATTGTAGAATCCTACCAGGATTAGGAAAAGGTTGTATATATAAACCCATGTACTCCCACTTTATTGTTTAAGGAAATTCATAATTCTTCATGGTATCAGAGTCATAATTTCTCAACCCAAAAACCCTAACCCTACCCGTGCTCTCTCCCTCCCTCTCGGCGTGCTTTCTCCCAGCGCAGCACACCACCCGCCGTCCTCCTCTCCTCGGCGGCAGCAGCGGTGCAACACAGCCCCCCCTCTTCCTCGGCGACGACATCACCTTCTCCTCTCAATATGGCTTCCTCTGATAAAGCCTCAGAAAACTCAACCTCTTCCTCCTCGAGTGCTCCTCATCTTGCCTTCACAACAATCTCCAACGTCAAGCTTCATGTCCCGATTCAGCTCAGCTTTTCTCAGCCCAACTACAAAAAGTGGAGTCAGCTATTTCTCCTCCTGGTGCGCCGATTCACCCTACACGGCTTTCTCTCGGGCTCTTCATCTCCCTCCTCTGCTGCTGATGATGAATGGTTCCAGCTCGACGCCCTGATCCAAGGATGGATTCTCTCTACTATTTCTGACGAAGTCTCAGATCTAGTCATCTCCACCACCTCCACCGCTGCTGAATAATGGCAGGTTATTCATGCACTATTTCATGACAACAAGCATGCTCGGGCAATGCAACTCGAGCATCAATTTCGAACCACTGTCAAGGGTACGATGACTATGGCCACGTATTGTCAAACCCTTCGAAACATTGCTGATTGGTTGGATGACGCCTCCGGCCCACTCTACCCTTTGCTCCCTGCGCCCCCAGCTCAAGTCCACAGTGCGTCCGTTGACATCCACACATGGCATCGGCGTCTTGGACACCCCAGCCCGGCAGTTCTTCGTGGTGTCTCCAGTCTTTTTAAATTTTTTCCTAGCAATAATTTATGTCATGCTTGTCAGTTGGGAAAACATATTCGTCTCCCATTTTCTTCTTCTTGTCGTATTTCCTCTTTCCCTTTTGAATTATTACATACTGATTTATGGCAATCCCCTGTCCCTAGTATTACTGGTTTTAAACACTACATGTTTTTGCTAGATGACTTTTCACATTATCTCTGGGTGTTTCCTTTAAAACAAAAATCTGATGTTTTTACTCATCTCACTACTTTTATTAACTATGTCAAAAATCATTTTAACACAACAATTAAAAATTTTCAATGTGAGAATGGCACTGAATATCGCAACTCCCCCCTCCGTACTGTTTTTAACTCCTTAGGCATTCTTTTTCGTTTTTCGTGCCCACACACAAGCCAACAAAATGGCCGTGCCGAGCGGACTATCCGCACCATAAATAACACCATCCAAACACTTCTTTTCCAAGCCCACCTTCCCCCAGAATTTTGGGTTGAGGCACTCCACATGACCGCCCACCTATTCAATCTCCTCCCGACCACTACCCGCAATAACCAAATTCCCCACACCACTCTCTTCCGCACCCCACCCGCCTACGCCCACCTCCGTGTATTCAGTTGTTTATGCTATCCAAACACCTCCGCCACCGCCCCACATAAACTTGCCCCACGCTCGGCACGGTGCATTTTTCTTGGTTACCCCTCCCACCAACGCGGTTATCGCTGTTTAGATCTCCACACTAACAAAATAATTGTCTCCCGTCATGTTCTTTTTGATGAAAATGTTTTTCCCTACGAACATCACCCTTCCGCCGACGATTTTAACTTCCTTGACACCACGGAGGACGCCCCACCCC